CAAGGTATTTAGTGACTACTCCCTCTATCTTCGGCGGCATTTTCACCTGCTCGCCTGCTGCAGAGACATAAACTAGATACATACCCTCCTCCGCATTTTGCTTATAATAATTGTAGAATGTGGCCGCACACACGCATCCGTAGGACTCGATCAGCCTACTAGCCTTGAACTTATGTAATCTGGCGGTCCCTCCACGGGGCAAAGTGTGCTTGACCACTTTTCGGTCCCAATCAAACTGGGGTTGTGCAACCGAGAGGTAGTACATACCTAACAAGATATCCATAGGGAGATCATCGCTAACTAGGAACGAGACTCGATGTCTCAGTTCCCCTCTCGCGTACGGGAAAAGACACTCAATGTCTTTAAGGTAGTCGTTGACTACCATGCGTTGTTTGTTGGCACAGGTCGACTCAGGCGTTGCACTTGCCCCTGTAAGCGCAGCCTCTCAACGCACGCGTGACTAATGAAGTTCCGCGTCGAGCAAGTGTCATAGTAGGCCCCGACCTTACGGCCGCCGATGACTACCTCGCCGACGAACAACTCACCCTTAGGGGCTTTGGCCATGGTCGTCCAAAAAGCTAGCGGGTCCAATCTAGACCACTCCTCCTCTAGCTCCTCTAAGGACTTAAACACATTCAGCGAACAAAGGATCCCTGGGTCCGAATGTGTTTGCCGGACGACGATAGAGTCAGTAGCTTGGGCCAATTCTCGAGACGATGAGGGTGTGTCCACCACCTCGACCCTAGCAGGAACAGCTCCAATTCCTACTGGCCCAACGTGTTTCCCGGAGCAGTGTCAGAACTGCTGGCCACATTGCTACCTACGGGAGCGGAGGATCCCAATGCTTGCCCCATCGTAGCCGGGATTGTCTCAGTCACCTTCTTGTTGCGGCACTTGAATTTGTTATGGCCATATTGACCACAACGAATACAGGTCTGTCCGGTATACCGGTCTCTCCACATGTCCACTGCGAGACCCACTTTCTCCCATGGAGAGCGTTAGGGTCCACTTGACTCCTAAACCGGGAATCTCCACGGCGTCTACCGGCCGCCTTACCTTTTTGGACAGAGGCAGCAATTGTTCCACCCCCTAAAAGTTCTACGTTGCCCGCCTCTGAACTCGCTCCCGCTTGGAAGTCCTCTTCCAACTCGATGGTAGGACCATCGTTGTCGACGAACATTATGCGGCCTTTTGCCTTCTAGTTGGTAGGCAGTGCCTTCTTCCTACCATTCGTCGTGGGTGTATGTCCATGCCCTATCTTTGCCTCTAGGTCTAAGGCCTTCTTATTGAACGAGGGAAAGTTGTGCATATTGATGTTGGCCCCACCTACCAACTGATTCATGAGAGGCATAGGAAAACATCTCAGGTATGCAGTGAGTAAGACCTGGGGGTCGTAACGTACTCCAGGAACACAGATCAGAAGCTCTATTGCGTCTGTGGCCTCCCTTACTGACTTAAATTGCCTGTTGTTCAAAGTCAGAATCGCGTCAGTGGCCTCTTGAGCCTCCTAAGGATCATGCCACCTTTCTTCCACCAGCTTAAGAAAGTCGTCCAGTTTCTAGTTGACTGCCCAAGCGCGGAAGTCATGACCGTATCCCTGTAGCTGCACTAAGCCACTCAACCATCTTGCTGCACTCCCCTCTAAATAGGAGGCAGCCACAAGCACTTCCTCGTGCGGCAAGGACAATTTACATTTGACAAAGACTGGCACTGACCTCAACCAAGTGTCGAGGTCTTCACCCCTCTTGTCCCCTGAAACGGGTTTGTGGGAGGTGATGGCCGTCTTCGGGACCCACTGGCTTTGTCCCGGTACCTGTCCCACTCCAGGCTGTGGACCTTGGGGACCAAGCTGCTGCACTAGCTGCTGCTGTGCAGACTACGAGACAGCAGGCTGCCCCGTTACGGCAACCTGCGACGGAGGTTGGGAGTACATTGTCTGTACAGTAACCTGTACACTAGGACCTGTTGAGAACCCTCCTGTCAATGGCATACTCAGGGAAGCGGACTGTACCGACGCTGGAGTTATGCATGGGGATACCCCTGTCACCGGTGGGACAAAAGGAGGAGGTTGTACCACGGGCCAGGCACCAGGCCCTGATGGTGATGGTGCCGCCTGAGCTCGCCTGACCAACACGGCCAGGCTCTGCTGAATGTCCTGTAAGAGCGCCATTTGGTGATCCTGCATCTCTACTACACCTAGCAAGACCGTCCTCAGGGTCCTCACATCATCATCCATCTTTGTCACGTCCATCGCCTCTAACTCACTAATATCCGCTTGTCTCCGCTGCATCCTGGCTCTTTTTCTAATCATCTTCTCTTTTTCCGCCTTTATCTCCCCTAAAGCCTTTTGTAGTTGTGCCTCGCGAAGGGCTGCTTGCTGTATGGCGACCTCTTCAGTTGTCCACACTATTGACGGGCTTGCCATAACGCCAGTGGAGTGACTCAAGGTCTGTGCAATCGTTGGCCCTACGGACCCTGAACTGCTGGCCTGGGAACTCTGTTGTGCAGCAGTTGCCATGGCTGCTGAAGCAGCGGCTTCGCTTGCAAACGCCCTGCTGGCCTCTACTGCCCTAGCTCTCCGCTGCAGCTGATGTCTCTCCCTCTGCTAGCGGAACAAGTATTTGTCGCCCTTTGGTCCTAATGCCAAATGGGCTATCGGGGGCCTTGCTGATCGCAAGATCTTGTCGTCCTCTCTAGTGTCCTCCCTGTCGCTCATAAGCTACAAAACTGCACACCGACTGCACTAGGTCACTCACTCGATGCCTGCCGCAGCGTCATGCACAAACCGATTTAAAATAATTAAAATAATCAATCGGTGGCTAAGTCAGAGTATATACATTTGGGTCCAACAGGTAAGTTCATATTCCTACAAACGAAACTATTTTTACTTAATTAGTCCACGAACAGAGAGAAGATTTCTATCTCATGTTGTCTGTCAGATGTCAATGGCAGTCCATCTAACTAATCAAAATGAATATAGAATCGTCTGGGTGGATATTTGGAGAATGGAATTGAAGATGAACTTATCACCTGGAATCTACCCCTCCCTCAGTCCCTCTTGATGGTCACTTGACGCCAGTGTCCCTGAGCGATCCACAACAGCGTGTGTGTCTAAAGGTGTGCACACGGCCCACCCCTGTGCCCCGAGTCCTGCTGAGCTGGCCAGCCCTGCACAATATTTATCCTCGCGTGCAGCGAGCCTTACACCGAACGATTGGCTGATCACAAGGCGTTTTTATGGACGGCCCCTGAAGTCCTCAAGAATTATTTAACGTCGCAGACAGGACAACGATCACAGCCAATGGAAGGTCCCCGCCGGTACTTATTTATAGATGCCCGGTACACGTCTTCCCCGTAGGGCTGGCCTGCCCCTCAGAACCCATCTGTAGCACAATGAACAGACAAAGGACAAAGCAGCAAAGCATGCGTGCTCTACTCCCGGTGGGTTGGCATGGTGACCGTGACCCAGTGCTTCATCCAGGGCCCTTCAGATAGCTCTTCCCACTCCTTCCAGATGCTCCACGTGAAAAATGTTGACTCTCAAGGTTGAGCGCACTCGACTCCTCACATGAGAGGACTCTCAAGATAGAACACACATCCTCACAGTAAGAAGTGTCGAAGAGGGTAGATAAGGTTAGGTGCAACGTACCTCAAAATAACTGCCCCCAACCACATATATTCTCACCAGATGACCTGATGCCGATTTTGATGACCAATCGCTGCTTCGGCACAACCAGCATTAATCCGGCGCTCCACCTCAGCATCAATCGCACATCACTTAGTTCTCATCACACTGCGAACACCCAATATTCACCACGTAGCCTTCCTGGCGATCCCCTCTCCTCCTGGGTCGCCTGCTTGCCTCCGCCCTCCTCACTACACACTCCCTACTGCCGCTCGCCCAGCAGACCGCATGCATGTACCACATAGGCAGAAGACAAGCGCCAGATGAGCGCACCGCACCACAGCTCCGATACCAAATTGCAAGGAAAATGAGCGATAGCGAACTTCAGAAACCAAGCAGCATGATACAGATGTGACCAGATAGTTGTGACCTTGAACCGAAAGCAGAATTGCAACACGAGTTCCATCAAATAAGAACACAGCAAAAGCTCATAAGTGACAATGTTGGAATAGTCTCGTCATCACCAACAAAGAACCAATGTCGACATCCTATCTGGCGCTCTGCGCCCAGACTACTCATGGCGGATCCTATCTAGCCTAATCTGCAAGGCCGTTGGTGACGTCAACAGCTCCCTCGAAGTACCAGCAGATCTCGGCCAATGTCGTTCGCTTCAAGCACCAGGTATGTCTCTCGTATCACTCACAACCTCGATCCCCCACTCACAGATGCCTCGTGCACCCAAGGACCACCATGCGCCTCATCCAGCATACAGCAGCGCAGCTCGGCTATGGCTGCCTGCTCCTTCCAGATCGCCCGTGAGCGCGTGAGCGCTGGCCAGCGTCTAGCGCAGCATGCAGCCAGTGCCCGAATGAGGAATGCGGGGGCAGGCACTTTCCTAAATGGAAGTGGCCTGCCTGCTGTGCGCCCTGGCTGCACCGGGCCCTGTCCCAGAAGCTTCCGGTAGGCCCCGGGAGGCTGAGCCCCAGTCTGGACGAATCAGGCCCAGGGCCTGTGACAGTTACCCGTGCCCAACTGCCCGTAGCCTGTGTTGGGTCCTTGTTGAGTATCTCGCTCAGGGCCTGACTCAAATGCATTTGATAAAAGTAGCAAGGGCCTGGGCGCTTTCAACCAACTGACACTGTGCAACTGCCTGAATTTCCCCAGGAGCGTGGAGACCCCAAAATAGACCATGGTCGGGCCTGCTTTCACTTAGGGCGGCCAACCGTACTGAAAAGAGGGCCCAGTAGGGCTTTTCGAGGCACTGAGCCTCGCACAAGCAGGTTCACCATAATAATTATGGCCCATACAACTTCGCACGCAGGACAGGTTTTAAACTTTTTTTTCAAACAGTTATTTGCGGTGATAATTAATTTACCTTGTTTCTGGCATTGGTAGGGGGGGTCTTGTAAGCCATTTCTGCAGTCTGCCTTGGTGATTGCAGTGCTGGATGGTGGAGACACGACCAAAGCATCAATTGAGCGCATGGCACCGGCCATGGAGGAGGAAGAGGTCAACAAAACAAGGCTAGCAGAAGTCACCACAGCAGTGCAACCTCTTCATCAGGAATAGACCCCTCAAGCTTCAGCTTCCACGCTTCCCTCACGTCATCCCCAAAATGGATGTCAATCCAGCGCCAACCTGTGACCAACACGTACTTTTGTTAGGACCTTGCAATGCTTGCATACCAAGCTGCCCTGCCCTGCCCATGACTCTTCCCTGCTACCTTCTTTCCCCCAACACAACGCTCCATTATCATCGGTGTATGCAAACCCTCTTCCGGTCTAAGTACAGTCATGATGATGGAGCGTTATGTTCAGGGGGACGAGGGTAATGTCGTTATAGACTCGCGACCCTGATGACGACAAACTGCCAGAAAGAGTGAGATGGGGAATGACCAGAAGGTTCCCATGAACAGCTCAGGGTGATCCCTTGAGTTTCATTCCTCCTTGTCTTTTTTTTTTTGCTCCCTTTTTTTAAAAGTTTTTTCCGCTTTCCTGGTTTGTGCATTGTCATGCAATCACATGGCAGATGTTGATCTTTTCGGTCTAATTCCAATTACAAAGGAAGCTGAGGGGTAAGACATTTGTCAAACAAACCTCAGAAACTTACATAGTTTCCATTTCCTTTCTCGAACGGTGTATTATACTGCAATAAACCCAACTTGAGAAGCTCGTGATCACATATAAAGTTATAAACTGAATTCACATGGCTCAACTACATGATAACAAACAACTTGTGACAGCCAATAACAAGAAGACAGAGTAGAGAAGAAGTGCAGGAGCATGAGAATATCTTTTTTATTTTTTTATTTTTTTCCCTTCCATAAAACAGGTCCTTATGGCCCTGGCTCCATTTCCATTCTGGGGAGCAGCATTCCGGTTCCTATTCCACCGGCAAGTCCCAACAAAGTATTACATCATGAAACACACTCACGCTTCCTTCCGTCTCCCCTGACCAGCATTGATTACTCCAGCATCATGGAGGATTGACTGTCAGCTTGCCTTACTTCCACCTTCCTCTCAGGTCCACTGCATGAACCTGTCAGATAAATTATAAAGAGCAAGAAAGGTAAAGGAAGCTATGGAAAACGAATCTAGGAATTCACCCTTCAATAGTACGTGGCCTGTGATGGATCTTGTCCGTCTGCTGGCTGGGATCTCTGCCTTTTCCACCCCGCTTCTGAGTTGTGCCAGTCTTTCCGCCATAAGCGAATGTCGTTTATCGCTGCTACTTCGCCTCCTGCGTGCCACACCTTAGTAAATTTTGCCTTTATTCTTCTTGTTGCTCCTCGTCGTCATCTGGCATAGAGTGTCTCGTCTTATGCCACTTACAAAGAATCTCTGCCTGAATCGAAGTTCTTGTCCTTTTTTTGTGGAGTCCCTCAATGGTTCTGCAGCACCTTTCCTTCCAGATGGACCACAGCGATACCTTTCTGACCATTCCGAACCACGTTTTCTCTGTCTTGGGGAATTGAGTTGGGATGTTAGTCCATAGAAGGACATGGATGGGGTGTTCAGGGAGAGTCGAGAAGAGGGAATCCCAGAGATCCGAGGCCCTCGCGCAATATTACGTCGCCTCTCTACAGCGTAACAGGCAGTGCAGCATATATTCTGGTTCATTTTCTGAGCATACCACATAAATCTGAACTGTTGGGGTCATTCTTACTTCTTCTAATATGCAGCCACTGGTTAACCGGTAGAGCCACGTACGAGATGAGCCATTGGAGGCTTCTGATTTTGACCGGACAGATTGACCTGAATTTTTTCCATGGTACTTGTTGGATCTGACTAGCGTCCTGACTCCTGACCTATTAACTTCTGCCATCTGTTCTTGATCGTAAGGTCAGGATCCTTTGTTTTGAGGAGTAAGTTGTATCCCAGTTTGACTGTGTATTCCTGGAGGGGTACATACTACATTCGTTCGGAGACTTCTGCTTCTGTTTGGTGTCCAAGCCCACTCTGCTGGATCAGATTTCCCAAGTCTTGAATTGCTGCATATATTCTGAAGATTGTTTTTGGGCATGATCCCAACACTCTTACTTTTCTGAGAACAAAAGGGTTTAGGACTGTTCTTTCCACCTCCTTATTCAGGATAGATGGGAGACCTTGTGTGGAGGGGGCAATTGGGAAAGGGGTCAACACAGCCAGGGTATCCGACCCTTGCTGTTTGTGGGAAAATTGATGGGCCCTTGAGGGGGTTAAATCCTGCACCCTCACTCCCCATTCACCCGATTTCCAGGTTGAGGCTTCGCTCGACAACTCCTTCCAGCATTCTGGGATGCAGTTAATAATGGATTTTAGATTCTCGTCTCGTCGGTGACATCCTTTGAGCTGGGAGGCAAGTTCCTGTTCTGTCACCCAGTCCTTTTTCTCCTTGTTCCAAAGATGGCTCACTTTCCAAACTCCGTGCTTGATCCACCCCCCTCAGATGGCCCAAAATATACCCGTCAAACAAATTAACAAACCGGGCAGATGGGTTCTTGGTATTATAGACCCCAAACAGGAAATCAAAGCCTTACAAGTTAAATGGATAGTCAAACTACTGACTAAACCAGGTACGCCATGGAATAAACTGGCCTTGGATAGCATAGGGGTCTAGCACCGACAGCCTCACCAGCAAACATGTCCGGTCTGTTCTGGGTAATGAATGACCAAGGAATGGAGCCCAAGTACAGCGCGCAGAATCAACGAAGAGGAAGCGGTCCAATCGAATTCAGGGCCCCCACATCACATTGGACTGCATTGCTACGGATATGGCGGGAAGTCAGTTTGGCAATCCGTGGGTGAGGGATGAAAGTGATCACCAGCTATCCCTTAACCCTCGAGGAGCATGAGAATATCTGAAAAAATATAACCGATGAAATTGAATGAATCTCCTATCAGCTCCTTTTCCTCTACGGTATGCTCCTGTACTTCGCTCTGGTATGCTCTATCTAAGTTTACACCGTGGGAGATATCCAGTTGTGGACATCGCCCCTCTTTCTCGCTTGTTTTCTTCTACTGTGGTAGTCGCAGCTCCCATCTCCCACCATCTCCTAACCCTCTCTTGTGGTGCTTTCATTCCTGGATACAGCGCACTCTGAGTCCATCCTCACTCATGTAGCTAGAGCTGCGAGCTACAGGGGTGTGTGGCGCCACCTCACTCGAAGGCTAGAGCACAGGGCTGATGAGAGAGAGGCCCCAGCAGTTCACCGGCTCTATGGGCGTAACCCGGGCAATGTTATGCTTGACACCTGCTTCAGAACAATGATGCTGAGTTCGTGTCCTGGCTGTAGCACTGCACTTCTCGTGCTTTTTATCTTTACCGAGCTATTGGCTGCAAGGATACTGCTGTTGAAGGTCCAGAAGGTAGCGTGCTATCATCATCTATGCTCTCTACCCCTCTTCCATGTGAGAGATGATGTGACGGAATACCAACACGCCTAGCTCGGTTTCTACACCCATGAACTGTTGAAATACAGACCCAAGTCCGAGTCCAGACACACTCCGATGACCACAATGAAAAAAACAACACTATCTGGACAGATTCCGTGAGCTATTGCAATTCAGACACAATGGCCTTTCGATAATGAAACTTCCACAATGTCTTTCTAAGTCTTTTACTTATGCCAGACAAAGTGGCCTTCCCCTTCTTTTGTCTCCACCAGTATTAGTTTCTTCTGGCCCACCAGTATTAGTGTCAGGACCACACCTCACGTCTTTGGAATTCTTATTATGAGCTGACTCAGCTGAGCCAAAAACACTAGGATCCATTGTGCATTCTCCACGCGTTCAACTTTTAGGTGCTGTCAGGATGCTGCCTCTCTGTGTCTCCTCCAGTCCTCCTGGATTTTCAAGCCCTATCTTTCTCCTTCCCTGGCCTTCACCTCCTGCCTTACCTGCGGTTCTCTCCATCCGTAGATGTCATGCCATCGATGCTGGAAGGGGTTGATCTGGCATTCAACGCTGGCGAAGTCCACGTATACCTATCATCAGATTTGTCACACTATATTGTCATCTCCAATGAAGAAGAAGAAGAAGAAGAAGAAGAAGAAGAAGAAGAAGAAGAAGAAGAAGAAGAAGAAGAAGA